GTTAACAAAGGAAAGAAACCGAGTTTTCAACCCGTGATCCAACCTGCTTTGCTCTTACAGGAACAAGGAAGCATTGCAATAAATTCCATAGATTGTTGGCCACAAGAAGTAGATATTTTCCGACCATTAACCAAACCAACGGCTATAAATGAAGCAAAAGAATCCAAATGCCCCGTTAATCAGTAATGCCAGGTATCAGCTGGGTTCTAGAAGAGAGCACACCCCAACATCTTGGTTTTGTCTTATCGCGAACATTTGCATATTAGGGATGAAACACGATGGAAAGACAAAGCATGATGAATCGTCATTCAATCACAGTGATATATCATTCTTTACAGACCCAAGCAAGTTCAAAATTTTGAACATTTAAGCTCAGAAACGTAGAAGGAGGCCATCGTGTCGATAGTCACCAATGAAAGAGAAGGCACGCATATATGAACGCATTGATACAATTGGAGCTCAAACCACCCATCAATCATATCCAACATCTTCAATTGATCATAGAAAGAACACCAACAACACAGGAAGATCTAGAACATTCACCCATCACAGAATAGAGGAAGCAAATTGCACTAGAAGCAAAGCTATGAAAAGATGCAAAATGCGATGAAATCATTCAAATAAGTCATTACCCAAAGAAATTCAGTCAAAAGGGTCATGATTGAAGACATGAAAAAGGAAAGTGGGGGAGCCATACCTTTATTTTATGAAGAATCTCTTTGCCAGTCATGGCGGGAAGGCCTGGGTGTGTATATATAGGACAGAAGGAGGTATGAATAGAGGCGATGTGCAGACCGAGGCGAAGATAGAGACAAAATCGAAGGAAGAGTAGGCGAAAGAGAGGGGCGAGGGAACAAGGGAGAGACGAGTGTGCAGAATTGAAGCTGACGAATATTGTTTGGTTGACACGACCAAACTTTCCCTCTTTGTCTCTCTTTCTCATTTTTCAATCCCAACAAAGAATCACACCCGTTCGCGCCATGACACGTCATTACTCCCTTCCTTGATTATAGTCCCCCCGGGTCCCTCTCTTTTCCCTATTTTTATTTGGATGATTAACTTCTTTTCAATTTTATTAAATTACTTTCTACTTTTTGGGAGAATCACAAGAAAAAATCATGAAAATAGAAAAATTATAAATAAAGATCCTTTACGGCAACAATAGAGAAAATTTTTATAATGAGTCTCTATATATAATTTTTTAATTTTTAGGATTTTTTTTACTATTTTTTTTTTTTCCAAATAATCTATCCTTAAGTTCGACTTAATTCTTGACTTGGTCTTTCAAATTTAACCTTTATTAATCAAACTTTTAAAATTTTATAACCGTACACAACTACAATAATTTAATAATTTACCAATCAATCAATATTCTTATGTTCCAAATACCTCGAAAACTTGCCAGATAATTAATTTTCAAGTTTGACAAGTTTCTTTTAGTTTGCCAAGCTATGCTTCACGAAGTGCGTCTAAATGCCATGAGGCCAAGGGGCGTTTGACTTAAAGAATGTATTAGCTCCGATCCTAATTATAAAAGTTAGTTAACTAATTTAAGAGGATTAAAAAATAAGTTAATTAGTTATTTATAATAAATATGTGTTCTTTCCTAAAATATCCTTACTAATCAAGTGTGTTGGTTAGAATTATTATTATTAGAATGATTACTTTAGGAAAAAAGACATAAATATTAGAGATAAAGTGAATTGAGGTCTTATATTTAGAACCAAAATAAAAATCAAACGAAGTTTTATATTTAGAACTGGAGGTAGTATTTGATAATGAAATTTTTAGATATAACATTAATTAAAAATTCCCATTTGATAACTTTTTTTAATAGTTCTTCGTATTTCTTTGATTCTTTATGTGACGCAATTGAGCCCAATCAACTCTTCTTTATGAATTTTTGTTTAAAAGTATAACTACATATCCATATATGTGAAGGATGATTCCAATTTTCAACACTTAAAAAATACATTTAAAGTAAAACCACTTAACTTTAGATAGAGCAACAACAAAAATTAGAAACTTATTGGGGGAAAAAAGGAAATTTATAAAGGTTATAGTTTTGACTTTTGATTTTGAGTTTACAACAAATATAAAGGTTGCAAATAGAATCTAATGCGTTGGATCTGACTCAGACCCGATTTTAAGTCTCTTGATCTTTTCATTCCTTGCCAAATTTTCTGCGCCGATCATGATATTTTTTAATATTATAGATTGGAATTTTATAATAAAATAAATTAATTTTTATTGAATAATTTTTTAATTTTAAAAAATTTAAATAAATCAAATACAAAACTCCTAACATAGAATTTGCACTTTAATTTCTTTATATTATTGAGAATAATGTCAAAAATAGAATGTCATTAAATATCAATATCTTCCATATAAGTCTTCAAAAAATTTTGTTTCATCAAGAATTGTTTTTTTTTATATTTTTTTATACAAAAAAGTTTAAGTGAGTTAGTGCACGATTCACTACAGCCAAGACATGTTTCCAGATCTAGAGAGTGCTAATAGATATTTTTATAGATTGTTCATCAATAAATTTCTCATATTAACAGTAGGATTCAAACTCATGACGTAAAGAATTATGAGTTTACTTCTTAAACAATTAGACCAATTCTTTGATGGCTTGCTGTTTTATATCTGTCGCTTGTGCTTTGTAATCCAACAAAATGAATTAAGCTATTCGGGTGTTTTTTGGGCCAAACTTTTCAAAGCTTGTTCTGAAGATACTTTGTTAGGCCCACAAGACCTTCTCATGAGTCAAAGTAATCATGATATTGGGCTTGGTCCACTATGGACCTTCGGCCCAACAGATAAACCTCCGAGTTTCTCTACCATGTTAATTAATTTATGTCGACAATTTAAGAGTGCTTTTGAAGAAAAGTTAACAAATACTAGTAATTGGGATAGATTGGAAGAGGTGGTCCCAGCAGAAAGGGTTCAAATGGGACCAGTGATTCTTCTGAGAAAAAACACCAAATATTTTTGCAGTTCACACTTTGTCTCCTTGATTAATCAGTTCATTAATCAAAAGGTCTTTGATCACATCATATTTTCTAATTGAACTTAATTTAATTTGATAATCTAAATAGTTTTTATCCTCATCGTTGATCTTCATCCAATTTTATCCAAATATGCACAAATATATATATAGTTAAGTTAGAAGATGTTTCAATTTGAAATTTTAAATTAAATTAAACTAAATTTATTTAATATGACTTTTAATTTCAACAACAAAAGTCTATATTCTAAAAAAACTGAATTTTTTGTTATTTTAACAGATGGTAGATATGTTTCAAAATAAATTATTAATTGCATTTAAAAAAAAAACTACGGTGGGAACAGGCATATTTGATAGTGGAATTATTTATTTGGGGTCGCTTTGGAGAAAACAAAAGAAGGAGACAAAAAAATGAATGAGTAATTTCATTGAATATGGGAGATGAACAAAGATTGAGAAATCAACAGCTTGTGGGCTAGCTAGCTAGCTAGCTTAGTGACAATATGATGAAACACATCTTATCTTTAATTTTTCCAAAACCCACCTAATTATTTCTTCATCAAACTTGGTAACACCATCATTACCATTTGTTAATCTCTATGTTTAGTTGGCATCTACTGCTTCTAATTGTTCACCTCACATCATTACTTGCATATGTTGACACACCACCTTCCTCCCTTGACTCCATTATTATCATTCTCAATCGTTTCATCAGAATTGAGAGGGGGGAAAAAAAAAAATTCAGCAAATCTGTCTTAAAATTTAAAATTTGCTAACTTTATTAAAAATAGAGAAACACTATAAGTTAAATTCTCTTTTTAATAATTTTCATAAAATTAGATAATGCTAACTAATAGCGTTTTAGGTGACTTGTATTGGGGCCATGAATTTATTCTATAATAAGGATGTGAGGGACTGTGTACCTTATTCAAAAATCAAGTTGAACTTCGTTATTTAATTCTGGAGATTCTACTATCATGTAAAAAAATGTGATTAACTAACTAATTAATTAATTATAATATTGTAAATGCATGCAGGCGACTTAGCTCGCAGTAATTGCCTAGCAACATATTATTCAATTTTTTTAATTAATTTATTATTTTAAAAAACTTTACATTTTCTCAGTCTGATCGATATTCTTTGATTTTGCATTACAAGGTATCGTTGATTTATAGAAACTTTCAACCAATTAACCCTTAACACGTCTCGTTTTGCAACAAAAACACAATATAGATATGATCCCATTATATATTCAACACCATTTTTTTTTTTTATCCTTTTCTTTTCCTTTTCAGCATTTTCTTTATGTCTCCCTTTTGCTACACCCAAAGTTTCTTTGGGTGGAACATAAAAAACATACCAAGAAAGTTAAGATATGATTTCTCTTTTGAATTTGAACTAGGATCTCTCTCTCTCACACACACAATTATTTACATATTTACTATTTTATTTTCTAATATGATAATATAATAAGCTTGTAAGAGAATTACATAAGAAGGGGATAATTATGTGAACTGAAGTTATAATAATTCATAATCATCAAACTCGTATTGAAATTGAATCTGATGATAAAAGATATGAGTTCATATAATCTTTGATCTTTCAAGTTTACTCTCATTTTGATATTAGTCTCTTAAATTTCAAATAATAAGTTTTAATCTTTTAAGAGATAAAATGATTCAAATTTTTATTTTATTACAAGAAATGATGTTTTAAATAAAAAGAAATTTAAGGGATCAAAATCTATGATTTAAAATTTGAGAAACTAAAACCAGGAATAATTTTAAAAAATTAAAGTTTATATTAACCCTAAATATATCAAGAATTATGACTAAATTATTGCCCTTTTTATCTTTTAACTGCCAATGTACTGTGACTAGCGTCCATCATTCACCTTCAACCTTGTATGGAGCTAAGACAGAAATTATCATTAATAAAGTATGACTAATAATAATCAAGAAAAAGGAAAGAAAGAAAGGAAACATAAGGACAAAACTACAAAGTGAAAAGGCAAAAACACATGAAAAAAGGGAATAAAAAGGGACACGATCAAAGAACTATTACGCATACATACAAACTCATCATCTCATCATCTTCTCAATCAAGTACCCACTTTTTTGCCCTGGCTAGCCTCCGCCATTATTGTTCCAAGTTAAAAGGTCTCCATCACATCCTGGTATGACCCTCCTTCTGATTTCCTGTAATCCACAGGTTGCTCCTGTTCCTGTTCCTGTTCCTGTTGCTGATGATGTTGATGACGATCCATTAATGGAGTTGCAGGAGACGAAGAAGACAAAGCCATTCTTGAAGGTAGAGTGAAGCTCCTCTTGAACTTATCCATGGTGCTTTCCTGCTTCTGGAACTCACTTCCAGTACTAGGGTTCGAGTCTGGGTTGAAAAACGACAGCCCGTTCTGCCATTTGAGGTCGTCGTTTCCATGGCCGCCCAATGGCGGCGGCTGATCAGAGGGATGATGGTCGTGGAGGAAGAGGTGGGTTTGGTCCCTGGGTTGATGAGGCATAGAACTACTCAATCCGAGTGTTGACGAGTTGTGGAAGTTGGTGGGAGAGGAGAGATTAATGGAAGTAGTTGCAGAAGGAAGGAGTGGTGACCGGTGGTGGTGATGATGAGGCCAGTTGACGAGAGAAGGCGGTGGATGAATGGGAGTGACGGCAGCGGCGGAGGTGGAGGAGGAGGAAGAAGAAGGGTTTCTGGTTGAAGAGAAAAGGTGGGAGAGGTAAAAACCGGACTGGTATCCCAGAGACTCGAACGTGTGCCTCATCCTCAGAACGAAATGAAGATCTTCTGGAATCTATATTCACACAAAATTAAAAGCCATGCATGCATCACTATAACATAAAACACACACAAATTAAAGCCATGCATTTTTTAAAATAAATATATTCTTTAATCAAAACATAATAAAGACAGTTTTTGTAGTTAACAAGACCACGAAGATAGTACAAGCAAGTTTTCAACTAAATCGCATACTTGTTATACCTTGCAATAACCTGATGGGTGTCAATATACATATAAGCAGATAAAAATGTAATTTTTTATTAAAAAGAAAATGTTACCACACATCTGATTTCTTTGACTTTTTATAGTGCCACCGTATATGAATATATAAAACACCATGTGAGATATATCCTAATCCATGGGTTCCAATTTCCCAAAAATCATGTATCTTAAATTTATCCTTCAATCCAGAATATACGCTGAAGATGGTGATGAGCCAAAAGCTGCAAATTATAGAGAGAAGCAAAGTGATGAACTCACTATCTTGCAAGAACCAAGTTGCAGAAGTCCGTGCCCAGCTTGAATCACAGCTATTGTCTAATAAATGTGAAACAAAAAGCCAAAAACAATTAGTAATAATAATAATAACGATAATAATGATAATTCTGAGACCCATAAGGGCAAAACTGAACGATTGATTCTGTGATTCTGACCTGAATACCTGATTCAAACTGGTCAGTCCATTCTGGTGGAAGCTGCAATTAATATCACCAAAAAAGACAAAACGTAGTAGGGTCAGTCAGTCGGTCAATAGAAAAAAGCCAAATTTAACGCCACATTCTGTTTGTTTCAAACTTCAAAGTAAAGCATCTTCCAAGTTTCAGAAACCAAAAAGAAAGAAATCAGAATGAAATGAATGAACTGCTTCTTCTGGTTTGGTTTGGTTTGGTTTGGTTCATACAGCATCAAACGAACTCTGCCAGTAGTTGGAGATGTTTGGTTCACTTTCTGAAGGTTCTTTGAATACCCATTTGTGACACTTATCTGATGCAACTTTCCCCATCAGCCTGGTTCATTAAATCACTTAAATCAGACATCACAATGCAAAGAAAAATGAATAGACCAGTTTCCCACAAGTATACATGGAAAAAAAAAGAGACTTTTTTTCAAAAAAAGGGGTTGAAAATGAGAGGAAGATCCAGAAATGAAACCATAAAAATATAATAAACACCTACCCAGTACCCACCCTTCTCCATAATTATATAATTGAATGGACATTTTGCTGAATGCTTTTCTGACTGGATCTTCTTCTCCGTTCATGTCTTCCAGACAATCCGAAACCCTTCCACGGCAGAAACCATCCTCCCACATCAACATCCTGCCATAAATTCAAGCGAAAGTTGCATGTCAGTACATAAAATTCCTAACTTAAAGCCCAGAGGATCTTTTGTTGCCCTGTTTTCCAAGGAGAAACTGTAAACTTTGCTTGGATGCCGAGAAGAAACAGTTTTTTTTTCCTGCAACAATAAGTGTAGCAGAGAATCTTGAAATTTTGTGTTTTCTCCTCTGTTTTCTCGTTACCACAAAGCAGACCCAGAGCGAAAGTCTGCTTAAATTTTCAGTCTTTCGTTACTCTGTTTCGTGGGAAATACTTAAAACTCTGTTTGGACGCTAAGAAAGTGTTCAGACAGTAGTACAAAGGCACAGGGAATTTGACTGTTGTGATGGGCTTTGGGTATTTTCTTAGCATCCAAACAGAGGGTAAGAGAAACCATGAAACCATACTTACAAGCTACCGTTGTCATCCCCAACCTTGCATCCACTACCACCTCTGAGTCTTCTGCAAGTTAAGATGGAGAATCCCTAGTTGAGAAAACAGCTCCAGACAGAGAAAACAAAATTTAACAGAGAAAGAGAGAGAGAAGCATATACGGGCGAGGACGTATGGTCCAGAAGACGGAATAAGTCCAATCTGAGTTGATACAGACGCTTCTGAGGGCCTCATGAAGTGCCATCATCCCAACAGCTTCTTTGCTTCTATCTGATACTGATCCTCCTGAGCCCACCATCTTTCTTTCTCTCTCACTATATACCTTTCTTCACCCTCTCCTACTTTCCTTTATGAGATCTATCTCTGAAACGCCTCCTCCTCTGTTTTTTTCCCCTTCTAATCACCACAAAGCATACCGATTCTGTTCTTAATTCTTGTGGGGTTTAGGTGCTCGATCGCAGAGATTTGGCGGAATCTTACAGAAAGCAGTACAAATGATTCTTCATCTGTAGAGTTGTGCGTCTGTGGCTTTCTTTTTCTTTGTGAGTGATGTGAGAGCTTTTTGTTTTGGACAAGAAGGTTACTTTGAGAGAGGGAGGTGGTGGTATTGTAATAAGTGTGTAGCCATGGAAAAACGTGGGGTCAGCTTTTGTCTTCTTTTTCTGTCTCACTGTCTCTTGCAAAGCACAAGATACAGGGAACAACGGAGAAGGAGGAGGAAGGGAAAGAAAGGGCAGGGCAGGCCAGGTCATGAGATATTGAAAATATTTATATATTGTATTAATTATACTGATACATGCTGCTTGTATAAATTCCACAAAATTTCACTTTATTTTAAAATTAAGAAAAATCAAGTTTAAAAAGAAACATAACATTGTAATTTATTATAGATCATATAGTTTATATTGATATTGATTGGGTTGTGTTGACTTTTTTAATTAAACTGTTTAAGGATTTGATTATTAAAACCCCTGGCCAAACGCAGCTTGTTATTTTAAAATGGGATAGATTAACAAATTTTGGCACCAGCAATAGGAAAAATTGTTGAAAAATCTCACATTGCGAAATTTATTATTTAAAGGTACATAAATTTTGTTTAAGGACTGCAGCTTGTGTGAGTGTGACTTTTTTTTTTTTTCATTATGTACAATCTATCTTTAATTATATGCAAATGAATTATATATGCATGTAACTAAAGATATGTTGCATGTAATTTGGGAAAAAAAAAAGGTTACACCTGGTACAAACGAATTGTACTCGCTCAAGAATCTAAGACGTTGTGTATCTTTATATAAAATACTCTTCTGGTCCTATTATAAGATAAAGAGAAAAAACTTTCATATAAATATATAATTTTACTTTTTATTTATTATTGTGTTGATTTTTTATGTGTATATATTAAATAGAGATAAAATCAAAAAGTTATCAAATTTTAAATAAGAATTAATAAAATTTAAAATTTTTATTAATATGTGTAAAACATATCAAAGATATGATTTATAAATAAAAATAAAAGTAAAAGAGTGAGTTATACGATAAGAAATGTTTCTCACAACTTTCCCCGTCTTTTAGGTATAGGACCTGTTGACTAATGAAATTGCAACGATTCGTCCATTTTCCAGTTTTGTCAATGCAACAAAGTATATTTCAAAAGAATAGAGATCATTTCCATATAAGCATGGCAGCCGTTCAATATTTTCCAAAAATAATAGAAATATGTTATTGATAAGACAAGCTAACGATTTTTTTCCCCCAAACTAATTGACATATCCGCAACAATTGCAGGCTGATGGCCAAAATATATAGAGAATCTAAATCATTGATTTACAGCACAAAAAATTACCTTCATTCTTATTTCTACTAAAAATGATATTACTAAAAATACAAAATGAATTTTTATTTGAAATTCCTGAAGTTACATGTGATCAGCTCTGCTCCAATGTTTTCTTTCACCCGAAGCATCATAAATTCTTAATCCAATAAAAACTTTTTGAGTTAATTTATGAAGTATGACATTTACACACTATTTCTTAAAGTAACATTAAAAATAAGGAAGATGATACTCTGGGACCTTTTTCAGGAGCAGTGACCGTTAGGAACCTAAATTTTGAAATATACTGCTAATTAACAACCAATGTCTTTTACTTTTAGAACAGATTAGTGGCTTTATAAGTTTTTTTTTTTTTCTGAGGTCTTTCTTAAGCATAACATCATAAGTCTGAATAGAATACAATGGATGCACAAAAAAACTTTTTTTTAAAAAAAATCACCGTTACTTATATGAAAGACTTTTTTAAATTTGTACTTTTTCAAGTTTTGAGTAAGGATAAACCTGAAAAACTATTTTATTTTCATATCATTTTAATGACTCAAGTATTTATAATTCTAATGAGATAGTTATAAGTGCAATCTATTTGAGATGGGAGGAAAGAATTTTTCAAATTGCACATTAATTAATATACACTACACATAAGTGAGTTTTGCATATGTAATGTGAATTGTGAAATCAAATAAATTAGTCAAACTTTATGGAGAAATTTTATATTCCACATTTGCTCATGAAAATTAAATTATGGTGGAAGGTGATGTGAAAGGGGAAAATAATAAAGCTGAGACTTTGAGAGAGGCGTTAAATTGTGAAGGAAGGATGCGAGTAGAGAAGAGAAGATGGAGTGGTCAAAAGTGAGAAGAAATTAATTATTTTTTTGACCAGAGGAGAAGAAATTAATTAGGAGGATTGCAAGGCTGAGATTTAGATTATTATTTTAAGGGATCATGAGATAGACATTATTGGTGTTATGCATGTCTGCACCTACCTCTCGAGCATCCTTTCCAACTTTTCACCTCATTTACTCATTATTAGAATATTACGACCTTCAATGTAATAATTAGTTGAAGATTAGATTTATTATAAATATAATATTTCAATTCATTTTGTTTTTTTGAATTTATAATTTTTTTCTCAAAATACTCTTATTGATTATAAAAAGTTTATACTAAGGGTAATTTAAATGTATAGGATTAAAAAAATAATTTAAAAAACCAGTATATATTTATTACAAATAACTAACTTAATTAATTTATTTAATATTTCTAAATTAATGACTTAACTCTTATATTAAAGTCTAGAGATAATGTTATTATACTTCATATATTATTCTCCTCCAAACTCAACAAGTCTCTCGCCCTCCTCCTTTTTCTTCCTTCTCTCCTCTTATAGGGCCATTCTTCCCAATTAAGTTACATCAAATCCCAAATTTACCCCTGCCCCAAAAAGTTGCTGACAATGTTTATTAATTACAAGGACACTCTTTAATATAAGAGTTAGTAGAGGTACTTATTTTTATTTTAAGTGCAAGACTCCTATTTATTTTTTCTCTTAAATTCTTAATTTTTTCTATACTTTCGCTATTGATTATACATATTAGGAAAGTTTTCTATCGATTGAGCGATACTTCTTAATATAAGATCTAAATAACTAATTTATAAATATTAAAAAATTAATTAAATTATTTGTTAACAATAAATATGTTTTGACCTTTTTAAACCGCTATCTGTACTTATGTGTATGGCAAGTGGGAATTAATTTTTGGTCAAAATCTTTTTAATATGTGCTATCAATAAGGCTACTTTTAAAATATATATATAAGTTTGGGAATAGGAGTAAATTGAGTGCCTATATTTTCTGGTCAAAAAAAAAAAATTGAGTGCCTATATTTTATGCATATCTGTCTGTGCCGTGTAAAGTGCCTTTTTTTTTTTTTTTTCCCAACAGTGTGATGTGCACCGGTAAATAATAATTAAACAAAACGGGGAAATAAAGAGGAACGTTTGGTTCAAGGAGTCACGTGCGCACGTGCCATGGTACGTCGTTTCTCATAAACAAATGTTTCCCTGCATGAGTTGCGAGGCGAATGCTTAAAGTTTGAACTTTCTGACGCTGGCCACTCTGTATCACGCGATCTCTTCTCACTTCCCGGAATCCATCGGTACATATTTTCCTCCCTTGACCAATGATGAATGCCAAGCCGTTGATCGGGGCGTGTCTTGCAATCGCTCAAGAGGTCACTTGGGACATATAGCCCAATATATGGAACAGTCGAAATTCCCTGGGCCTTTCACTGTGTCCACTGCATTGATCGGTCCAGCTTTGGGCCCCCACGACTGGATCTCTGGTGGGACCCACGCCACAGAAAATCCATTAAGTTCTTAATTACTTTGGTATTATAGGATTAAAAAAGCTGGCCCAACGTTTGTTTTGAAAAAAAGAGTCATTACTTTTTGTGATTATTTTTAAAAACTATTAACTGCATTAATAATTGATCACAATCCTCTATTATTTTAATAACAATTATAATTTATTCTTCGCCTTATAGTCGGTTAAAATGTAAGACACGTCGATTTAGACATTGTGTATGGCTGACTTTTCTTTCTTTTGAATCTATATACCCCTTTTTTTCGTTTGGTCTGTCTTCAAATCCAATTCAATTTTAGTTCAAATAATATCAATACATAAAGATTAGCCTATTAGGCTAACCGTAAAAAATGATGAAATTCTTTTTATCATCAAGATTCAATATTTTTAGACATAGCAGATAAGATCATGTGCCTCGTTTGCTTTTGACTCTCAAAACTTGAAGCTTATCTATTTTGTCCCCAACTTGAAGCTTATCCTTTTTGTCTGGCCCCTAACTCAAACCATATATCAATGATTCGCATTCGATTAAAAAAAAATAATATTATCTCCGATTCTTAATATAAGATCTAGTTGACTGATTTGAGTGGATTAAAAAAACTAGTTAAGTTATTTATTTGTAATAAATAAGTATTATCTTTTTTAAAATATCCTTGCTAATCGAATATATTAGCTAAACCTATAATTATTACAAGGACTACTTTTAAAAAAATAGATAAATGTGAGGGATTTAGTGAATTGAGATCATATATTTAGAACCAAAATAAAAATTAAACGAAGTCTTATATTAAGGACGGGTAGTATAACTTTTTTTTTTTTGATAACATAAAATAGACAAAGTTTGGATTTTTCTATCCATGGGATAACTTGCTAAATTTAAGCAGTAACCAATACATCTCCCCCCCCCCCCCGGCAAAAAAAAAAATGCCGTTTGAAAATGATACTTCTAATTAATTAAGAGAAAGGGCCTAGTATGTTACTGAGGGCATTTGTGGAGAGATCAGTAATTTTAAGAACATCAATTATTTTTCTTGATTTATGTAAAGTGGGTATAATGGTCTTATAAATTAAATTTAAAAAGGAGAGACCAATTATGCACAGGTTAAATTTATTTGGATTTAACATCAGTTTTGGTTGAGCTAAATTAATAAAGATGAATGTTAGTCAGGTATTAAAAGAACAGAAGGAAAATCAGTATTTAAATATTGATTCATTTAGCAGCAAACGAGCATCTCAATCGCAAATTGAGAATTACATTTGAAACTAAAAAATTTAATATTTTTCTCTTTTTAATTTTAACTCAGTTATTGGTTTTTAAATTTGGTTTGATGCAACTCAATTCTTATATTATAATCATTCAAAATATTAGTCCTTATCTTTTAAAATATAAAATTATATACTCCTCCGGTCCTTAATATAGGACACAATTTTTGAATTGGTTTTGGTCCTAAATATAAGACCCATTTCTCATATTTATCAATTTTCTCTAAATTAC